AATGAGGAGGCCAAGACAATACAATGGGTCTTTTCAACAAATGATGCTGGGACAACTGGACATACACATGCAAAACAATGAAGTTGGGTCCCTTCCTTATACCATACACAAAAATTAACTCCAAATGGATCATGGACCTAAATGTAAGAGCTCAAACTATAAAATTTTTAGAAGAAAATAGGCATAAACCTTTGTGACCTTGGATTAGGCAACAATTTCTTAGATATGAGACCAAAAAGCACAAGTAAAAAAAGAAAAAACATAGATATACTGAACTACATCAAAATTAAAAGCTTTTGTGCTGCAAATAATAACAGCACAAAAAAATTATATCAAGAGACTAAAAAGACATCACACAGAATGGGATGAAATATTTCTAAATCATATATCTGATAAGGGACTTGTACCTAGAATATATAAAGAACTCATATAATTCAATAATAAAAAGTTAAATAACCCAATTAAAAATTGGGCAAAGGATTTGAATAGACATTTCTCCAAAGAAGATATGTAAATGGGCAACAAACACACGAAATTATACTCAACATCATTAACCATTAGGGAAATTCAAATCAAAACCACATGAGATACCACTTCACACCCACTAGGAAGCCTACAATAAAAAAAAATTAATAATAACAAGTGTTGGTAAGAATGTGAAGAAACTGAAACCCTCATTCACTGCTGGTAGAAATGTAAGATGGTGCAGTTAATTTGGAAAACAGCTTGGCAGTTCCTCAAATTGTTAAACACAGAGTTACCACATGACCCAGCAATTCCACTCTTAGAGTAATGAAAACACACGTCCACATAAAAACTTGCAAATGACTGCTCATCACAGCATTATTTACAATAGCCCAAAAGTGGAAATGATCCAAATACCCATCAAAGGACAAATGGATAAATATAATGTGGTATAGCCATACAAGGGAACTTTATTTGATAATAAAAAGAATGAAGTACTGACACATGCTACAACATGGACGAACCTTGAAAACATTATGCTACGTGAAAGGAACTAGGTATAAAAGACTACATATTGTATGATTCCTTTTACATGAAATAGAGACAGAAAGTAGACCAACGGTTGCCTAGGGCTGGCGAGGGAGAGAGGAAGGATTTACTCCTTAATGAGCATGGGATTTTTTTGGGGGGTGACGAACTGAGGTTGTGGTGATGGGTGCACAACTCTGTAACTATACTAAAGGCATTAAATTGTATACTTTAAATAGGTGAATTTTGTAGCATGAGAATTATATTATAATAAAGATGATTAAAAGACCCAAAAGAAGTGAACTAGCAAGTATCAGTGTGAAGATAACCTGGTGGAAATACCATGTCTCAGATCAGGAAGGACCAATTCTGTTTCCTTTATTTGCTTATTGTAGGTGTTCTTAGCACCCCAAAGTGGATCTGACACTCTAGGTGAGTATATACATATATTTTTTTTGGTGAGGAAGATTGGCTCTGAGTTAACATGTGTGCCAATCTTCCTCTATTTTGTATGTGGGATGCTAGTGCAGCATGGCTTTATGAGTGGTGTATAGGTCCATGCCCAGCATCTCAACTGCGAACCATGGGTTGCCAAAGTGGAGTGAGCGAACTTAACCACTACGCCACGAGGTGGGCCCCTAGGTGAGCATTTTTGAACTATCTATGGATCATGTTCTGAACTGGCTGAAAAATCTGATGAATGTTATGAGCCTTCTCTCCAGAAAAGACATAGGTGGATGTGTTAATACATTCACGCACCAACACACACAATTTTAGGGGTTCTCTGAAACCCGAAACCCATTTAATAACATGCTCTTCAAAAAAGTGTTCCTTGGTGAAATTGTTTGGGAAATGTCACATGGAAGAGTTGTGATGCAAAATAGCATATTATGGGCCCTGAGATATCTTGGTGTAAAGCACCCTAGAATTTAAAAAATATTTTTAACCCAGTATTTCCTAGGGTATTTAAAAAAATAATACTTATAAACATCCGGTGGATCACAAAGTCTCTTGAGGAACACAGTTTAAGAAATGACAAGTTGGGCAGAATTTATCCACAGACTATCCTTCTAGGGCAGTGGTTCTTAACTTTGGCTGTACATTAGAATCTCTGGGAAGCCTTCAAACACTTCAATGTTCAGGCTGTACTCAAATCAATTAAATCACTATCTCCATAGTTGGACACCAGGAATCTGGTGTTTTTTAAAGCTCTCTGAGAGATTCCAATATGGAAGCAAGACTGAGAATCACTGTTGTAGGACAGTTTGTCAGTATCTCCTAGAAAGCTTGTTCATCACACCGGGCCTCTGAGTCAGAGGTCTGGGATGGGTCTCACTCATTGATCATAAGCATCCTAAGCGATTCTGTTATATTGTGGTCCTTAGATCACTTCAAGAAGCAGCTTTAACAATGAAAGAGGAAAACATCTGGCTCAATTAACTTATCATGATAACCAGAAACTTGAACATGGTTCTCACACTGTGGGTTCCAGACCAGCAGCATCAACACCATCTTGGAACCTGTCAGAATTTAAAATTCTGGGACCCCACCCCAGACCTAGAGAATTAGAAACTCTGGGGTTGGGGCCCAGTAATCCGTGTTAACAAGCCCTCCCAGGTGATTTCAATGCACTCTCAAGTTTGAGACCCACTAAGATAAAGTGTAGCATTAATCACACGTGTTTTAAATAAACTAATTAGTATTGTTGATTATATAATAATCAGCTTGTCTGTGCTTATCTCAACTCTGCAGATAGAGGTCCTAGATTGTCTTGAAAGGGACTATTTTCCATTAAACTGATTCTGACCCTCAAAATTGCTAACAATGTGCACAATTGGAACTCTGATATTTTTGTGGGAGAAGGAGGTTAAAGCTGAACAAGATGCCTCCCAGGGACAAAGATTTGGATAAGACTATCCTCACACTGATTTGGGGGGAAATATCCTCTTCAACTACACGTGAGCATAAAGCAGATGGACTGAATTCAGCAGAAAACCTGCCATTATATCTGGTTTAATAAAGTCAGCCAGGGAGGACCGTGGTGGGGAAACTAATGGCGTATTTATCAGCACAACACACAAATGGAAATCAGATAATTCCGTTTGAAGGCTTCACAAGTTCAGGTACTTTTCCCAGCAATTATCTACTCAATGGAACAAAACTGTCAACAAACCACCCTGGGCGAGAGTTCATCCTGAGGGCAGGGGCTGGCTCCCCTGTCAGGGACAATAACGAGTGGTCTGGGGCATCCTTTCCTACAATGCGGCTTAGGCAACTGGGATCTAGAAACAATGTTTGCTGATGACTGGACACACACTTCCTCTCAATTATACAGAGTTATGTGAGTCTCTTCCTATTTTACAGATTCTTGGGCTATTCCCCAATTGGGAGCCATTAACTTTATACACTTTAAAATGTTTGTTGAATTGTATTAAAGTGTAAAATCTCCTCCCCTTTAGGATATTTGTTACAGTTAGTTCAGACTCTGTGCTGACGGGGGCATCCCTGTCATTCCTTGTCCGAGAATTTATGCTAGTGAATTTTATAGATCTATTTCCCCCTGAATAGACACTAACTCTGGTCTACCCTTCTGTCCTGTAGGAAAGCACCAAAAACAAATTAGCCTGTTAGTGCTCATTTTCTCCTCGATAAATTTGAGAACACATTTTCCTAATGTATGGTGCATAAAAAGCAAACAGGAATTGGGTAGTATTATTCTGTGATTACTACTGCATATTTTCTCAACTAAGAGAGAACACAGCTATATGGAATGTAGGACTATATACAATGGCCAAAAAGATGGCCTTACCCTCAATCTAGAGGTGCACTGTCTACATCATTAACAGCCCAAGAGAAAATTCAGGAACCAGGACAGAAGCTCTACTTAGAATCGGAGGTCAACTGGACAGAATCACCTCATTCCCATTGCTGTCTTTCCTGAACACCACACTGCTTGGTTGAACGATGAGCCCTGTACAGTTTCTCTCCTTCCTCCAACTCTTCCTACCCCTATGGTCCTCCCTCTTGGCCATTCCTATCCTGCTGTTAGGAATACAATTCCCCTACATCTTCAACCTCTTCCTGAAATGTTGTCTCCACCTTCCTTGCCTTTAGAGAAGACGGACTTTTCCCCCTGAAGGCACTTCTTCCCTTGCCAAATCTTGAGTGAAGGTGGCACATTCTCCCTCATCATCCTGGATCAGATGCCAGTTCTCCATCACCCAGCAGTGACATTTATTCTATCCATTCCTTCCTCCTGTCTCATCCCTGTGCTCTGCCAACTTTCAGGGCTGCATCTCTTTCATGAAGGACTTTGGCATTGAGCTCAGTCTTCTTTCCATCTCAACCCCTTGAAATCATCTTGCAGGGTCTCATTGTTTCTTACTCACTGGCCCCGGTCTCTGCGGCACTTCTCTCTGTGGGACTGTGGTACACCTGCCATGTAGAACTACTTGGAATTCCTAAACAAGACAAGGTTTCTCCTTTGTCCGTGTCTTTCTACACATTGTTTCCCGTGCCTGAAAAGCTGCTCCTCCTCACAAAGCCCTGCTTCTTCTTCGGGGGTCACTCAAATGTCACCTCCTCTGGGAAGCCTTCTGTTTCTGCTTTCCAACAGTGTGTCTACCATAGTACTTATTGATTAAGCCTACAATACATGTTTCTTGGTATTTAATCATTTAACATAAACTTATCGAGCATCTAAATTGTGCCAGGCAGTCTAGAACTTCAATGATTGGACCATAAACTTGCGTAAGTGTTTATAGGATTCCATTTTTATTGTTGGCAACTACTGGCATTATCTGCAGTCACCAATTTCCCATGTCCATGCTAAACTATTGCTGAGAAACAGAAGTTTGGTTTTTAAATAATCACAACCAAATGGTGCCTCTTCTGTTGGGTTTCATGTCAAGCACATGACTCTCCATTTCCTTAACTCTCTGCCCCCCATATGGCCGGCTCTGACATATGAATTCAGTTACGGACCTAGCGTATCCAGAATCTGCCCAGTGCTCACTTTGGCAGCACAAATACTAAAATTGGATACAGAGGAGATTAGCAAGCTCTTGAGCAAGGATGACATGCAAATTTGTGAAGTGTTTCTTTTTTTTTTTTAAAGATTGGCCCTGAGCTAACATCCGTTGCCAATCTTTTTTTTCCTTCTTCTTCTGCCCAAAGCCCCTCAATAAGTAGTTGTATATTATACTTGTATGTCCTTGGGGTTCTGCTATGTGGGACGCCACCTCAGCATGGCTTGATGAGCAGTGCCATGTCCGTGCCCAGGATCCGAACCTGCAAAACCCTGGGCTGCCCAAGTGGAGCGTGTGAACTTAACCACTCGGCCATGGGGCGGCCTCAAGTGTTTCATATTTTTAAGAGAGTAGATCTTAAAAGTTCTTATCACAGGAAAAAAACTCTGTACCTATGGATGGTGACGGATGTTAACTAGACTTATTATGGTGATCATTGAGCAAAATACACAAATATCGAATCATTACATTGTACACCTGAAACTAATATAATGTATGTCAATTATACCTCAATAAAAAAGTTCTATATCACTAATAATCGAATAAGTAAAAATTAAAAGTGAAAAAAAAGGATCTGGCCACTGTCCATCTAAGGCATGGGATTTTTGAGAGGCACGTTGGTCAATGGGCTGCTAGAGATGGCAATAAATCAGCGACTCTGATACTTCAGTGTTGTATCCAAATCAGAATTGCCTTGGGACAGGGTGAGTGTTGAAAATGCAGAATCATGGGCTCCCAGGAGGTCCTATTTCTCATGTCTCCATTGGCCCAGGAATCTGCATGTTAATACAGTGGTGGGTACCGCTGGGCTATCTTCTGAGATGCTCTAGATTCTTCAGGTTCTACTCCTGCGCTAACACACATCATCAGTGAGAAAATCCCTAGAGAAAAATCTTTTTTGAGTTACTACCTGATATCAGACCCTCAGCTTTAGGGCAGGACTGATCCAAGAACAGCTGGTCTAAAAGCATTCTTTTTTTCTGACTTTGCAAAGCCCTGATTGAAGCTATCATTTGCTGCTACCAAACCACCTTTATGCAGGGACTCCAAACATTACTCCATACTGAACATAGTTCCAAGAAAGGATTTTCTGCATATAAATTTATAAGCTTGCTTTCCCTTCAAATAAAAAATTCACCCACTGTATGTATGTATATATTTACACACACACAAAACATATATTTATTAATATTACTATTTGCTTTTTGCTTTGTTTTATTTTTTCCTTAGCTACCAGGAAAGAAAGTCAACTCTTCAGTGCTCAAATGGAGAAACACAAATATCAAATTATCCACGCTTAGGCCTCCTGGAGCAGGTAAGCACAAGCAGAATAGTAACAATAGTTGACATCTATTAAGCACTTTCTATAGGCTTGGTCCCTGATATATTTTTATTTCATTTAATCCTCTAAAAACCCTATGAATATGTATGAACATGAATAATGTATATCCTTATTTTACCTACGAGGAAGCTGAGGGAAACAGTCCTTACAAGGTGGAACAAGGCTGCAGTGGAGTGCAGACACTGATACCCAGGGGAGAATGGAGATGCTAAATGGAAAAGGGGACTCTGACAAGATGGATTCCAAGTGGAATTCCACTAAAAACTATTTTCTTCTCAATTTTGGCTTTGAGTAATACTAAGACAATTTGTCCAAACATGTCAGCAGATGACTTTCAGCTTGCTGACATGATTGTACTGGAACAGATACAGTCACGTCATTCATGCCTAGAAAATTTGAAAGCAACGGATAAAGCTTGTATGGCCTCAAAACCACAGGACCCCTCTCCCAACCACATTCTGTGTCAGAAACTCTCACGCACTGTGAAGCAGACGGTAACGTGAAATGGGTTCCTGATGCAACTCTGGTGATATGGTTGCATAGGTGTGTTTAGGGCGTGGGCACGGCATTAACCAGAACGACTCACTCCAGTACACTCCATAAGGAACCTACAGAAATATAAATATCTATAAGCCCAGGAAGCAAAGCCAGTTCAAACAATTTTTTTGCTTTAGATGTTTAATTTAAATTTAACTGCTGGTGATCTTACAGACTCTAGTAGGCTGCTGATTAAGATGGAGAAATTATTTGTGCTTTATAAAGGGGATGTATTTTTGCAAGGAGATCTCTCCTGAGGCTTGTATGGGCTGTCAGCGGTAGAGATATTAGAATATGATTTCCTTCTTTTGCAACAGCATTTTATTCTAAAATCAATGTCACAACTTTCATAGCTAATGGATTTTGTTGGTATGCATTCATCTGCTGCGGAGAAAATCACTGCTCAAATCAGGCTGTTCCAAATAGGATTGACTAAAGCAAGCAAGATGCTATTCTTGTCAAAGCCACCTCATATTCCAATTGACATATTGTATTCTAGTGCTGACAGCTGAAGGCTAGAGTTTTGATTAATCCATTTTCCTCTCATTATAAACACACTCTCTCTTCCCCGAAGGTTCCAGCAATCACTCCAGCAAGAGGTGGACCTTGATAGAACAATGCTTATCCTTTGGTGGCCACTCTACGTACAAGAGAAAAAGCCGGTTTTGTTTTCCAAATCTCCTTGGGCATTGTTGAAAGGGGATCATTTGTGAATGCATGTGTTTCAACAAGCTCAAGGCTGTGTTTTGTTTTTCTCTTCCACGGAAGCACGCAGTGAGGGAGACGAAGCAGGTGTGCAGTTAATTCAAAGCATGATGGACACCTGCTGAGAAGTCATTGTCCACTGTGAGGCAGCAACGAACACAAGGGCTGTAGGATTGGGTGCAGGGTAGGGAGCTGGCAGCATTCCTTCCCCACCCCCTCCACACCAGACTATGGAAGTCAGAAATTGTGGATTGATCCCGCTCCTCATAATCCCCATGCTGAACTACCAAGGCCACTTGGAAGCTTATTCTCTGGGTTGCTATTGTTGATAGTCATGACCATTTTTGAGACTGAGGCTTTGCAATAGTTGAAAGCATCCCAAGTTACCCAGTGGCCAACTGGATATTCAGTCACCAAATACAGTCAGGAGGAAGGAAAGAGTAGGTGACGGTGCCCACTAAGAACTGGCTTCCTGTTGTATAACACGAGACTACAGTTAACAGCACCGTATTGTGTATTTGAAAGTTGCTAAGAGAGTAGATATTAAAAGTTCTCATCACAAGGGAAAAATAATTTGTAACTATGTGAGGTGATAGATGATAACCAAACTTATTGTGGTAATTATTTTGCAGTACATACATATATCAAATCATTATGTTGTACACCTTAAACATATACAATGTTATATGTCAATTATATCTGAGTAAAACTGGAGAAAAAGGAATTCTTTTCCAGTTTATGAAAAAAAGAAAAGAAAAGAATTGGCTTCATGCAACAGGGAGGTGATGAGTTCTATATTTGTCTCCCAAATCTGATGAAGAAATGTGATCAAACACACGGTCTGACAGTACAAAGAATTTTGGAAATTACTGATCTCCCCAAGTCCAGGACTTAGGTACGATCACAATGTGGACTCCACTTGCGGCCAACACTGCACAGCTTAAAATAAAGTATTGCCAATACCACGTGAATCTGGGGAGGTAAATATGAGACGGTGCTCAGTATACACAGTTTACATGAGGCCTGTGAGCTCCACATCTGCAGTAAACTGTGAGTTACTGACCTTACTTATCCTAATATAATAGTTTTCAAACTTCAGCATGCATCAGAATCAGCTGGAGAGCTGGGTAAAACACAGGCCCCTGGGTTTCTGCTTTCTGATTATGAGTTTCTGATTCAGTAGGTGTGGGAGGGGGCTCGAGTTGCCAAGTGATGCTGCTGCTGCCAGACCAGGGACCAAATTTGAGAACCACATCCTGAGATCTCAGGCAAAGGAATGCCTTACTTGTCCTATTTGGAAAATGAGGATTCGGTACTGGCCTACATCCCCTAGGTTGTTTGAATGTTCACTCATGAATGGGGAAGAGAGAAATATTTATTCACAATCTCTTGTGTGCTAGATGCTTTCACACATTATGTTATTTAATCTTCACAACAACCTGACAGGCAGGTATTATTATCCTCACTTCCTAGTTAGGAGAATGGAGGCTGAGAGAGGTCAGTTCACTTGCATAAGTCCATGAAGGTAGGAAGTGCTCAGACTGAGATTCAACCTGGGTTGGTCCGGCTCCAACACTGTAGACTTTCTATGACGTCCAAGCCTCTCTCTACACCAACTGGCCTCCATCTTTGTAAACGGGATCTTATAAAGCCCCCAGAGAAGGGAAAAACAAGACTAAGTTAAGGCAGACATCTGAGTTGACTATGTGGACCACTGATTCCTTTGTTTTAGGCAGAGGCTGTCCAAATTCCACATGCTCCAACTAGCCACGCTGAATTTCTGTTTCTGCCTATGATATTGGTTACTTTATCTCAATTCTGATGGCTTTGCTCCTGGACCTTGACTCTGATCTGGTCTCACTCAGGTGTCCAGTCATCACCCCTGGCCTCTGAACAACCAGCTTACGCTGAAAAGGCTCCTGGTGAATCCCCCCATGAATACAACTGCCGCCTACCCATGAGGAAGCCAATCAGAACTGGGGCAAAATCTCATGCCCATCACATGTCTACCTCCTATCTTGACCAACTCTTCCAAAGACAGGAATGGTGATTTATCACTTTTAATAAATGGTTTGGATCACAGCATTCCAGCTAAGCCATGTTGTGGTTTGGTTAATACATTCCACACACAGACAGAAATATATGTGCTGTTCAAAGCCTTGCACACTGTGGTTGCATAATTTTAGGTGACTGTGGTAGGAGAAAGAAGGCAGCAGAGTTGGAGCAGAGAACCCAATTTAAATTCTCACGACCATCTATTAATATTTGAGTGTCTACAGGAGGCATGCTCCCTTGCAGGATTCTTCCCAGACTATCCAGGTTTTCCCCATAAATTCTCATTAGGATATTTTATGCCTTAATTTCTAATAAAAATATAGGAAAGTGGCATTCTTTATTCCTCAGGGTGAGTTTCACTTCTATATTTTATAATGCAATATAATGTCATAAAGTAGAATAAATGAGCCAGGAATAAAAATTTTTCTATTAAAACTGAAAA